CACACACACACACGCAACACACACACACACACACACACACACACACGTCAAATGTAAAACTCTTATTTAAAATCTGCTGTTGAGTAATAACTACGCGGGGACGGATAGCGAGTAGAAAGAAAAGAGTATTTTTTTTTTATCATTTTACTGAGGTTTTTTAATTAGATTTTGGGTAAATAACTAAAAAAAACTAAAACTAAAATAAAACGACGTTACTGGAGATTATAAAGTTAGAGAAATCTGTCGGGGTATCGTGAAGCCGAGATGCCGACGGTGCAAGTTATCTGCAAGACTCGAATTAGAAATTTTTAAAAGGAGAAACTACATATTTTTACAGTGACACACACACACACACACACACACACACACACACACACACACACTGCTTTGTTTCATCCTGAGATAAGAATGTTATGTGTGCCATTTGGGATTAGGTAATCAGAATTCCTTTTGGTTAAACTGGCTGATTAGGCATTTTATTGGTATACACTGTGATGAATTATGATGCTGTGGTAACTTTATAATTTTTTAGGCTTCAGTTTATGGAAATTTATCAGTACAGTTACCTGAGAATTCATAAATTATTGAATATGAAGTTTTGCGGTTACAGGTTCAGGAATATTTTATTGTTTCAGAAAAATTGTCATTACTGCTAGAGGAGAGAGAGAGAGTGAGTCTTACATCTCCAACGTTGATGTAACATGAGGGAAAAGAAACGTAAGGAAAAGAAAATGGGAAGAGAAATATAAATGAAAATAAATTAAAAGAAACGGATAAAAATGGGAATAAAAAGAAGTGGGAAAAATGGGAGGAAAAACGAGATAAGGAAAAAATCGATTAAATAGAAGAAAGATAAAAAATACAAGAAAAATATGAGAAAACGGAAAACGACTAAAGAATAAAAAAGAAAAATACAGGAAAAAATAGTTACCAACTGATTGCCTCGGAAAATTGACTACTGTATTTTTCGTATTATTTATTCTACAATTTACCACCGCAGCCTGGCTTGTGGTGGGTATATTTAGTGATCTCTGGCGAGTATTATATTTTTTTATGCTTACATTATAACCCGTGATTATTAGCTTCGTTTGTCTGTGAAGCGTACTCTCTCTCTCTCTCTCTCTCTCTCTCTCTCTCTCTCTCAGTTATACGCCGCGTGATTGGCTGTGAGGTTTGTCTCCCACCGCCCGGATCAACCAATAAACGGAGCAGGTTAGCTTTGCACTTCGGCTCTCTCCTTCCTCTCTGGCCAGTTCTGTCAACTCAATACACTTATGGTAGAGTGGTTGGGTGAGTGGATGAGTGGGTGGGTAAGTGATTGGGTGAGTGAGTGGGTAGGTGGGTGAGTGGATGGCTGTGTGGGTGAGTAGAAGGATAGATGAATGACTGATTGGATGGATGGGTGGGTGAATGAATATCTGCGTGGGTGAGTGAGTGGATGGGTGGGTGAATGGGTGGGTGAATGGATGGCTGCGTGGGTGAGTGGGTGGATGGGTGAGGGAGTTGGTTGGTAGGAGGGTGGGGTGGATAGTTGAGTCCGTTCACAGTGAAACAAGCTTTCCCTATCGACCAGACCATATGCACTGTGCATATACCCTGTGTGTGTGTGTGTGTGTGTGTGTGTGTGTGTGTGTGTGTGTGTGTGTGTGTGTGTGTGTGTGTGTGTGTGTGTTTATTTTCCATTCCTACCCTGAATGGAATATTTAGATTCTCCTCTTTTACGTGAATAGCTGATGGAGAGACTACTTAAATATTTATTCAAGAGACATATGACCTGAATATAGATACAGGGAGAGAGAGCCCGGACTGGTTTTTAAACCTCTCGAATGGATTAAAATTAAACTTTTCTAGAGCAGTTCAAACGAGGTTACAGCGGCGTATATGTATACTTTTTCTACTTTTTTTATACACACACACACACACACACACACACACCGTGACCGTATCTGCGCCATCCTCGACACTGTCCCCTGTTTTTACCCGAGATCCCATTGGCATTTAATATATTTAGTAGTGGTGTATCGTATTACAGTATGCAAGCAACAGCCACATTAATTGAATAACAGTAGGTGGTGATCCTACGTGTTTATACCGCCTGCTGGGTACTGTCCTACACCTCGAAAATAACTATTACCCTAAGTAGACAATAATGGATATGGGTAGACAGTAGAGGTGTTGTGGTGTCAAGAGTTTGATTAAGAAGAAGGTATACAAGAGGGGTGTATGTGTGCGTGTCCTAATTGTTTTTCAAGCAGGAGTGTTGATCAGATAAGTGTTGCTACCTCAAGTTTTTTGGTTGTCGGAGTTAATTGGCAGACTCATTAAGGTGTCACCAGGTGCGTGGGATGACGCATGTATGTCAGGGTGAGTGACAGGTATGACCACGCCTCACGCCAGACCTGTTGGATGTGACAGGTGTGTCTTCAAATTACTTGATATGAGGCAAATGTGGCCACAGCTCACGGAGGGACGTGACAGATATAACTACACCCTGTACACGACATGACTCATGCGTCTGGGACCTGACAAGTATGGTCACTCCTCGCACTGGACGTGACACATATGACAAATGTAAGTGTACAGTACACCCAGTGGCACCTGGTAGTGACAAGCATATAGGCGTATATTGGACTGTGACAAGTAATTACCACGTGTCCGGTAGATTACAGATCTCGTCCTACAGTGTCTGCCTCTCCTTCCTGACCCCAACACATTGTTTGACCACTGTGAGCAGTTATGGTAGTAGGTCGTGGCTCAATGGGTTTTCCTCACTCAACATCTGTTTCAAAATGGCGAGACAGTAGTTGGAAATATGGTGCCTCACATCCCCAGGAAATTAAAAGAAAAACATAAAGTATAATTATTCCAGTCATTTTTTTTATCAAGACAAGATTTCACTAATATTGAAACTAGATGAAATTAATAAGTTCATTGGAAATAAAACAAAATTAAACTTGACAGAGATGTAACAGGGCAGTTTGAAATATTGTCGTATGCCTTATTCAGACGATCTTCCTCCTGTGTGGAACCCTGTAGTGAGGTTTCCAGTTCAAAAAACGGGGAAGCCTCCTCGCGGGTGTATATAATTTTTTTCCTCACAAAGGGGAGAGTCATCTTAACACCGAGAGTCTCTCAAGTCAAGGGGGAACTCCATTAGTCACTTACCCTAATTTTTTCTTACTCAAGGATTCCTCCATTATCCCATTAGGTGTAATGTAAGTTACCTCCCCTCCCCCTGCAGTGTTCCTCTCCTGTTGACAGCCCTTTTCGTGAGGGTCACTTTGATGATGATTAGAAAAAGTTTAAATGAGAGAGAGAGAGAGAGAGAGAGAGAGTGATTGAAATTAAAAACTGAAACAGCAAAAAAACAGCCAACTTAAAAGAGCACATTGGGAAGCTGACCAGCCATATGGCGCACACACACACACACACACACACACACACGTCCACCGACCCTAATTCTTTTACAGCTGACGTCTTATAAGCGGTCAGAATTGCCTCTTCCCGCCCCTATCTCCTCCTCCTCCTCCCACCTCTCTCCTCCTCCTCTCCTTATCAGGCATAATCGATTTATAGCCCTGTCTTCCCCCCTAACAAGGCTTGTCCAACTGGCGGGTCAGTAACATGACCTCACAAGGTTGGCGTGTCGTCACGTAATTGGCTATCATTCTGGCAGGAGGATGAGCTAATGGTATCATTTGTGCCTTACTGCAGCAGGTCAGGCGATGCGTGGCGTGCGGACCTGTTCTCACCCACCTGTCTCCCCTCCCTCCTTACCTCCCTTGTTGTCTTCCTCCCTTTTCATCCTCCTTTTCTTCTCTCCCTTCCCGTTCATCCTCCTTCCTTTCCTACATTGTCTTGTCCCTTCCTTCCCTTTTTCATTCTCTTAATTTCTTCTTTTCTCATTTTTTTTATTCTCTTCCTCCTCCTTCTCCCCCCCCCCTCCCACCCACCTTTGTCGTGTGTTGTGTACGTAGTGACATTTAAATACGGTTCTCTTTTATTATTTTTATTTTGCCATTGTGAAGGTGATGGTCTCTTTTGTTGGATCACCTGAAGATTACCCCCCTAGTGCTAACCTAACCTACGTAACTCCACCAGGTAGCGTTATGGTGATTAATCTTCAGGTGGAATAAATTGAGGGAGTGAATCTCAGGTGATCCTTGTGACTCAATACCAGATGAAAGAGGATTCGTTTGTTTTTTTTACTCATGTCAAATTCAAAAGATGAGTCCGTCTAATAGATTGTTTACTACGTTAATACTGATGTAAGTGAGAAGGTTGTACTGTATTTACTGTAATTATGTAATGGTTTGAGTGGGTCTTCTTTGTATTGGTTGACGCAGCTGATCGATCGATACATGAGTCTAGGTTGAGATTTTATGATTGTAAATGGTAACTTTATTAACGTGGGATTGTTGTATTGTGCTCATAACTTTTGTATATAACGATGTAATATTTCTTCATCTTGAACCAGCTTTTATATATTTTTTCCAGTTTTTATTGATTTATTTATTTTTAGTTTTATTTATTTTTTGTCTTTTCTATTTTCTGGTATATATATTTTTATTTTATTTTAGGATAGAGAGTCCTTTATCCCAATGAGAGAGAAAGTTGTCGTGGTCAAGGCTTCAACACCTGGCGTTTCTGGTTCCTCAAGGGATTGACGTAGGAACCGTCACCGCCTCTGTTTCGTCCACCTCCCCAATGGTTACCCAGCTTACCATTTTTCTTTTCTTATTTTAATGGCTATCACGTTGTATGAGACGAGGAGACTGTGAAACGTCTTCTCTTGAATACACCTTCCACTTGTGTGTGTGTGTGTGTGTATTCAGTCTTTTACAAAATTTAAGTTAGGCACCGGATGTTGCTTGTGAGAAGGTCTGTGAATATGATAAATTATTCAGTTTTTATATCATATCCCATTCGTGTTAGAATAAATGAACACAATGAATAGAACATGTAAAGTAATATTAAACAAGGAGACAAATAAGTGGCAATTAAGGTGCTGGGTTTATTGGAAATTAAGAGAAAATTCTGGTGTACAGGGAATCATTTCAAAGATTGTTAGGATGGGTCATAATTCATATTCCGTAAACGACTGTAGGTCAGTTGAGAGTCCGGGTTCATTACCTGTGAGTCTAAGCATTTTCGGTTTTTTCCGCCGCAGCAGTGGTGCTGGTAGAGGCAGTTTCGCTTACATTATCATTGTCACCGTTGCAAGCAAGGCATGGCAGCTTCTTCTCGAGGGCAGTGCGGTACTTGGGGTGGCTGATGGCGTACACGATGGGGTTGTACACGGCGTTAGCCTTGGCGAATACGGAGCCCCAGATGGAGAAGATAGGAGTAACAATGGACTTGTTGAGCATGCCAGCCCAGTTGATGGCAAGGTAGGGGGTCCATGCAATGAACCAGAGGGTCACTGTCATCATGGCAACCTTGGCCAGGCGGCACTCAGCAGAAGTCTTCTGGGATTCTTCATTCCTCAAGGACTTGACGCCCATCTTCTTGGCCTGGTCACGCATGGTTTTCTCGTGGGAGGCAACAGCCTTGACTATGAAGAAATAGGAGTAGATAGTGACGAAGAGAGGAATGAAGTATACAAAGACAGAGTACACATACAGATAGCTGCGGGACAAGGCAGTCTCGTTAAGATAGTCAGTACCACAGGCAGTCATGTTACCCTCAGGTACGTAACGGTTCCAGCCGAAGAAGGGGGGCAGGCACCAGCCGAGAGTCAAAATCCAAGTTCCTGCGATTCTCAGTAAAGCTCCCTTGGAGGAGAGAGGCTCAGCAGAGACGCCCTTGACAATGACATTGTAACGATCCAAGGTGATCCACACCATGCTCCAGATGGACACACAGCCGAACAGGGAACCAAAGAAAGCGTATAATTCGCAGAAGAAGGCGCCAAGTACCCATGTGCGCCAGTAGCATGTGATAACCATGGGTGGGAACATGAGGAACATCATCAAAAAGTCAGAGAAGGCCAGGTTAACGACAAGAAGGTTGGCAGGAGAGCGGAGAGATTTGGTATTCATGAACACCCAGATGACGACGAAGTTACCAGCCACCGAAAGGAAGCCCATAACGATCATGAATAACATGAGCAGTCCATACCAGAGGGGATTCATGGGGGGAAACTGGTACCAGTGAGCATCCACCATGTGGAGGATCTCTTTTGGTACAGTGTCCACCACCGTGTAGTTCCCATAAGGATTGGTGGAGGGAAGGGAGTATTCTTCCAGGTCGGTCGGATTGTTCCAGGAAGACATCTGTAATAAGAGTTCGTATTTAGTAGCTGGTAACCCATCTTATGGTGTCTAGAATTTTTAAGTAGAGAAATTGTATTAGGTATTTTATCGTAGTATATCCCATACCTGTCTCTTGACCCAGCTCCCTCTATCTATTCATTTATGATATTATGCCCCCTGCAGTTTCCGTGATATTGATCCCTGCAACATCACCGCGATGATACAAATGCTAAATCAAACTACATCCTGTTATGTGGGCCGTTAAAGTAGTGTGTTTCTGCCAGGGTTCCCTACGTTCACAAGAATGGCAGATGAAAAACTTAAGTGTTGAACCATTCTTTGATTTTTGGCCCCTGTCAAGTTAACATAAATGAAGAAATTCGAGATAACTTTGCTGATGAATGTGGTGTGGTGTCTGCCGGAAGAAATGATCTAGATAAATTTCATCTCAAGTGAGTAAGACCCAAGTGAAGTGTGGGAGAAAGTATGTAGTTTGTAGTGTCTGATATTTAACCATCTAAACTTCGTACTTGAGCCGAAATAAAATAATATGAAAAGGCTGTTGTGTGTAGGGAACCAAACTGTGTACTTAACAAGAGTCACGGTGAACGTGATGCCAGATGTTATAAAATGGCATCCTTGTATTTCTCGACCTGGCAAATGGCGAGGAAGAAAGACTAAATAAGAATTTAAAAACAATATATTGTAATTTGTGTGTTCAGAAGGATGATTTCTTAAAAGTTGCAAATCTCAGATACGGTCACAACAGTTCACATGCTTAACACCTTGTTAGCAGGACTGTGTGTGTAGTCAACTACGGTTGGAGGGTGAGTTGAAGAAATTTCCGGAGAACTACTTCAATCTCTGACGTCCAGTTGAGGTATGAGACCCTGCCAGAAGACTTCTGTGACAGTTGCTCCAGCTGCGGGCTTTTATATGCCCCAAGTCCCTCAAGCGCCATGAAGCCCGACGATGAGTTCAGAGTTTTGTACTGATCTGGTCCTTTTTATGGTTGCTTAGCTTAAGGTACGAACTGTCACACACACACACACACACACACACACACACACACACACACACACACGAGTATATACTGTACTGTGTATTGAGGTTGACTGGTGTTTCAAATGCTTATAGACAATGATCGTGACATCTAAAAATATAAAATGTTGATAGAAATAAATTTTTACTTGTCGAAGAAAACAATAAGTAAGTAAGGACGGAGTAAAGGAAAGTTAAAAAAAATTACTTTAATTTTTTATCCAATACTTAACCCGCAAATATGTGTTTACATGTGTGTGTGTGTGTGTGTGTGTGTGTGTGTGTGTGTGTGTGTGTGTGTGTTTCTAGGTGTGAAGGTGAACGTGTGTGAACAGGTGAAATATCACTAAACTTCAATCAACAACCTGATTTTTAGTACCGTATTGATCATTCTAATATACACTAAATGCACGACATCTCCGTAGAACAGCATTGCTCTATATATTAAATAGGAATACATAGTTTATTTAGAAGAAAGAGGAGGGACCAGAGGGTGGCAGAAGATTGTTAAATTGTGTTGCTGAAGCGTAGAGTGACAGGTACTGGGCCTCCATAGAGTCATTCTAGTTTTAAAATTGTATTATTTTACAACAAAAACAAAAGTTAAAGAATAATGTGTTTATTTATTTATTTATTTTTATTCTGATGCCATCGGTTATCCTTATACCAAGTCTTTCAGTGTCAGCAGCTGAGGTCTGGAAAACATAATCCCTGACAAGAAGTCTTTGGGCGCAATATCGGGAGACCTCGGTGGCCAGGAGACGGATCCAGTACGTCCAGTCCGTCTGCCAGAGAAGTTAGATACAATCACACTGTGTGTGAGAGTCTTTTCCATATTGACGGCGGTAATTCCGTTGAACAGAACAGTTGTCATTGATCTCGACTCCACAAACCACATGACACATTGAGCTTTCTCCTGCGTAGTCGTTATCTTCCTTCAAGCTTCTATCGTTAGCAACTGGACACTCGGATTATAAAATGTAAATCAAGAACAAATAAGTAAGCTAAGCAACAAGTTTTAGAAACTATAATTCTATCTTTTTTTTTTTTTAATACTTGTATAATTTTAAAACTGGTACGAAACTTAGTGGACACCCTGTAAGATGACTCATGTGAAGGGATTTATTACAGATAGTGTCCGATCATCACATGATAGACACTGGTCTTGCTTACAACAGTGTTAGTCTAGACCACCACAGATTTTCTCCAGGTTCAAGGAAAATGTGGTTTTCTTCAATAGTAGTGGTGGCTGATGTGCTGTGTGTAGTTGCACTTCTGGAACTTGGCGGATGGTTACTGCACATAGTTTATGAATCTACTTTTAGGTAATTTGGTTGGACTATTATTACTTAACATCATAAAAAACTTAACTGTTGTATATTTATTTGGTATCTTTTTATAGATAAAGATATAAACACAAATCATGTAATTGTTAGTAAACTGATGTACTTTTATGTAAAGTTTTCCTGGTGTCTTAGACATGAAAAATGCAGATTATTTATCCAACCTCTTTGACCATAAGCGTGAACTTCTTTGTTGGTTTCAACCAAGTCTTGTTTTGCGTGGGCGTGTGAGGTTGTTTACTCACCTCAGGCAGGTGTGAAGGAGTTGGAGAAATTATCTCCGGTCAAAAAACGCTACACATGTTATGTTCGTGAGCTAGACTTGTATGTGTCCCCACGGCGAGCGGCCAGCATCTAATTTTCAGGCTTATTTCAAGTGTGGAATTTTATATGTGATAACTAGATAACATGGTTCAGCAAGTCTTAGCTGTTCTCGGGTGGCGGGTGAGAAACAAATTTATAATATTTTGGCGATAACATGAAAGTTGATTTTTGGGGCTGAGCGGAACAGTTCCTTGGTGTATACTGTGGCACACGCAGACCCTGTACAGCAGATTAATATATTAATACTGGCATGTATTCCCACATTATATTTTAAGTATTGTTCTTGTTCCAGTAATAATATCAGGCGACCAACTTGCTTTTTGTTATAAATCACAACAGTTCTTCATGGTTAGTATCGATGTCACTTAAAGTAATACGGGAAGCTATGAAACAATCTTCTATATTTTTATTTACAAACGACTTTCGTGTAGAAAATAATAATTTATTTCTTGAGGCAACAGTAAACACGACAGTATCAGCGTCTGCCACTGAATGATCGCTGAGGTGAGTCAGGCTAAAGCTCCTGCACTTGGAAGGGTTTCTCTTCTTTAAGATCTTTACCACCGAGAGACTCTGTGTACTTATAGCTCATCCAGTGACCCTAGATGGCAAACTTCATTGATTTTCTTGGAGCTTTAGTAAACACGACTGTGAAAAGAAGATATAAAGTGTTATGTGACAGATATGAACCCAGGCTTCATGCTTACCTAATGATTTTGTTAATAAGTTGTTTGCTTCTTTATTATGACCTTCATCGTCCAGTGTTAGTATAGGAGGAAACCAGAATACCCGGAGAAAAGCTGTCATGTTTGGAAGGGTCACACTGGATAACATCCTTCCCCACATCTGTTCCGGGCTGGGTGTGCTGCAGTACCTGTTTGGACTAATTACTCTAAAAATACTTAAATTAAAAGGAAAAAATTGTGGTAGTGGCACAAAGAAATCTGCACTTATTGGATTTGTAGGAGTGAACCCAAGCTAGTTAGTTCTCATGTCTCTGGTGACACACCAGAGTGTCCCCTGACCTGTGTAAGGCTTCAGCGCACTGCATTTAACACTGGTAAATGTAGCACAGTATTTTTAAACTATTTTAGTATGTATGTTTACTTCCATCGTTAGGTGTGTGCTAAATCATCCATAGTTTACCCAAGCAGTGTAATAATATTGTATCTGGAAAGTTTTTCTATGACATATGTCTGACACGTGTGTTAGTTACATGTAAACAACCACTCAGTATGTCTGCCCACTCAATGTGATGCCTGTCCACGGAATGAGAGAAAATTACATAATCGTTCAAGCTATTATGCGATATTTTGTTGGTACTGTTATAAGACTGTGCACTGTGAAGCGCAGAACTAACAAATATTGTTAAAAGTAAACAATGTTGTTGCGTGACCCAACGTACTGTACATAAGAACATAAGAAAATAAGGAGTCTGCAATAGGCCGGTTGGCCTGTGCATGGCAGCTCCTGTCGAGAGTTACTACCACTCTCTATCATCCATGAATCTATCTATTTTATTGACTTGAGATATAGTTTCACCAAACCAGAGGAGAAATATCAGTGAAATGACTTAAAATAAATGGAGTAGAGTGTGTACTTCAGTCACTCATTATTCTCAGTCCTCCAGCCTATCATGCACACTGAATATCACTGAACTACATCGAGCATAACAATTCATGTGTTCTCATAACATTCTCCTGTATACAGTCAAGAGGTAAAGACGAAGAAATACCCTCCCTCCCTCCATCCCTCCATCCATTAGTACTAAACATGATAAGACTAACATACACCTCCCTCCCTCGGGTAAGAAACAGGTGCCGTAATTAATAGGGCTTATCAAGGACACATCTCTGAACTAATTGGCTATTTGCTGTTACACTGTTTGTTTTGGCGCGGGGTTTATGGTGCACGCTGGCACGAGATCTCTGTTATGGCGCTCGCTATTGGTCGAGGAGACACGACTAACGCAAGTTTTAACCCTGCTGCGTATTTTTTACTCACTCCATTACTTCCAAGTTAGCGTAATTATTCCCCTTTTTCTGCGTATATAAAATATAGGACATATTTTGACCCCGCTGCGTAATTTCAACTTTCTGAATTAATTTGGAGTTTTGTGGGGTTTTTTGTAATATAAAAGCGTATGACGGATATTTTAAGAGTGTGTAAATAAACTACTGAACCCATGTTAATAACTGCATTCTGCGTATTATTATTTTTTGCTTTAATACGCATTTAAGATCGTATTATAACTGGTGCGTGTATAATAATAGCATATGACGGCTATTTTAACTACTAGGAGGGTTATTTTAACTGTACGTATATACAAGTGTGAGATGGCTGTTTTAATTGTGCTAGGAGTTCCGTATTTTATAACGCATTATGTTACAAGGGGAGACGGGGAGTGCAAATTGCTTGTATTAAATGAGTATGATTCTTCCCTGCCTACACTAACTCGTGAGGCAGAATTTTATGTGTGTTGTATTACATGTTTTACGTCAGTACCTTGATAACACTTGTCGTTTCGTTGATTGTTTCGTCTTACTGAGTGATATTTGTGTTTGTAGGGATTAAGTTTGTATTATTCTTCGTTAAGAGTTTGCTATTTAATATTCCTGTTTGAGTTATAAATTAATGAGTAATATTTTAGTAATTAATTGAGAATATTCTTGATTGGTTTATTAGTAAGATTTTTAGTACAAATTAAGTAGGAATCTTGTTTTAGCTGTAATTAATTGATATTCATGTTTGACTTAAAATTAATGTCCTATTTATGTTTATGCTAAAATTAATTAGAAATATTAATGATTAGGTTAGACTAAATTAATAATTCTTTATCAATACAGGTTTACTTCTTTAAACATTAGAAACTTAAAAAAAAATGTACTTAGGTCAGGTGAGGTTCGCTTAAGGTGCTTAGGTCAGGTCAGATCAGGTTAGGTTAGGTTAAGGTAGTTAGGTAAGGTTAGTGTTAAGGTGGTTAAACTATACAGGCGATAAAAGTTAGTATGGAGATTCTTCAGGTGATCCATATTTACTGTTGCGTATATTTTTGCATCTAATTACTTTTGTAAATTGCGGCGAAATCCATAACTCTGCGTGTGCGTATAATGATTCCGTAACGCAATAAAAAATTTTACACTTGCGTATCCTCTTCTTCATCTTACTGTTCATTATTCTTTGTCACTCTCCCA